AAACTACCTGTCAACTAATTCTCTCACCAGCCGAACAACCCCTCTCCCAAGCTGCTCGCCTTTTCTGCAGGTGAGAGGCTTTTTCAAGCTCTTCTTGATCACCTGAGACTTGTAAGCCGCGCCATGCAAGCGCGGCGTTCAAATATTTTCGTATGATTGATTCATTGGACTGTGACAGGTCGTGGTAAGGAGATCGAAGCAACCATCGGAGAGAGTCAACCCCATCCACGGATCAAGAGCGTTCGTGTTCCGACTCTTTCATTTCGAGGCGACGCCCTGCCTCATCGATATCACCTCAGTGGGCTAACCGTGCCTTACTTGCTCTTTTGTTTCCTAGTGTTGCTCCATCTCAATGTGTTTGGTTTCTTCGTGGTTCAGTCGCTGTTTGGGATCTTATATATCCTTTGTTCTTCGACGTCGTTAGGATAAATCTCGCAATTCGTAGTCAATTGGGTTTATGCCAGAAGCACGGCAATATCACCTTTCCTGGCCACCTTAGCTGACTCACTTCTGACCAGGAAGGTCTTTCAGGGCGTGCCAAGCTTTTTGAAAACGGTCTTTTGCATGATATAGGGGCACATGCCACAGTGGGCTTGGTGTCACACCTCTTACACCAATTTTTAATCAAAGTCTTTTTGTAAGGGTTACTGACGGTCCTAATCATGAATATGGTACTAATTATTCATGCTAACTCCATTTTGCGCGAATTTTGAAACGTCAACTCGAAATGCAAAAATTTGTCACCACGAGGAATCGAACTAGGGACCCCCTTTTTCTGGTATTCAGAGGCCGTTCAGGAAAAATCAACCATGGTTCTGTGGTTCCCGCATGTGCCCCTATATCATGCAAAAGACCGTTTTGAAAAAGCTTGTCACGCCCTGAAAGACCTTCCTGGTCAGAAGTGAGTCAGCTAAGGTGGCCAGGAAAGGTGATACTGCCCTGCTTCTGGCATAAACCCAATTGACTACGAATTGCGAGATTTATACTGACGACGTCGAAGAACAAAGGATATATAAGATCCCAAACAGCGACTGAACC